CCCTCTTTCCATAGAATCAGACATTGCGACAATATTCTAGAAGAATACATTTTTTTTTGGTTTCATATTGCTAAGAGGGTTGAAACCGTGAATATGGTTACGTGCCAATTTATCAGCTGATAATTTTTGAAATTTTTAATTTTTTTGTTTTGATTTTTTTTTTCTGGAATTTTATAATGTTAATAAATAACTAATAATTAAATGTACGACAAAATTACCTGAAATACATGCATCTTTACTAGAAAACTCCCTTAAGGGATCATCTATCAATCAAAGGGCTACGCGAATTAGTAGAAATCGGGTTTTGAGATATTCTGTATATAATTTTGTTGAAAAAGTAATATACCTATGTACCTTTTCTAAGAGTTTTGCAGTTCAAGAGATTAGTAGAAGTATATAAATTAGATATCAAACATCTCTTAAAGTTCGCAAAAAGCGTTGACGTTCTGTAAGACGAATACTTCAGCTCGAATTAAACTGAAGCTCGATCTGGCATTAAGGGCCAGTAAGTCTATGTATGGCATGACAACCGGCCAGCATTATCTAAACTAACCTAACCCTAAAAGAGCTGAGAGAGCATTATGCGGTTAAAATATTTTTATAAAAAAATCACCATGAGTGATGAGACCTATGTAATATAATATATATTTTTGATATTTACGTTACACTTTTAGGATACTAAAATCTGTATACCGGCTCGGAGTTATTCCATGACGTAATTATTATAGTTGTTGTTGTAGCGTAAAAAGTCAATTCAAAAAGCAATTTTAATAATTGTGCCCAGTTGAGAGTTTTTAGCGTGATAAAAATCTGGGTCCGTTCCGGTTACATAGATTCAACTATCATGGGGTAATTTATATGGTTCGATTCTATCGCTCCAGGCTTTTTTACGTTGGTATTCTTGAAATCGTGTATTTGTGAAATGCAGTAAAAAGATCGGGAGTCAACTTACGAAATCAAATATTTGTCGACAAACTTGCGGCAAAAGCAACGGAAAGAGAGAAACGGATCTTAACGGATGCATAAAGAGAACTTTAGGTAGCTTTATTATGAAGAACGAATAAAATCCTCTCAATTGATACTTGTTTTGACGATTCCAGAATAAAAAACTCAAATATTTTCAGAAATTGCTAATATGTACATATAAGGCTTTCCAATACTATCAGACGTTTAGGATTGGTGGATCTTCCCAATAGAAGTTAAACTAAAGGATGAGTGAGCATCTATAATCGGTTAAGGTTTATTAAGTTAGATAAACCTGTAGATTTTTCCAGTTTCAAATTAATAAAAAGAAAAGCTATGCGTAATACCCACCGTAACTCCGTGACAAACACAAACAACAAACTAAAGCCACCGCCCACCTAAGTTTTACAGGCGTAGCTTCATGTAGCAAGCACTTCATTTGAATATTTGAATTGCGAAGTTAAATGCAAAACATTTTGCAACAATTTATCATTAGAAATATACGCATAATTGAATAGCTTAAAAAATAGCTAGAAGCAATAAAAATTTATATACCCCAGTATCTGAACAACCCCAAAACGCAAAGCCACCACCAGCCAGTTACGCTTTCATCTAGTGAGTTAGCGCTGTGGACCACACTGGGGGCGCAGTTGTCGAGAACAAATCAGCGAGATTTTCAGAAATTCCGCATTGTCATTCGTTCAAATAGGCACAGTTACCACGACGACTTGTCGGTTGCACGCTGTCATAATTAGCATAAATGAATCATATGAGCTATAAGCTGACGTATTCTATGCCGAAATCATAACCGATAACTGCGATGGTGGCAAAACATGAGTATTCACTTTACTGCGGGGGAGAGGAGTAGAGTTAAAGATAAATTAAAATAAATTACAAGTGTCAGCTGAGCATATCCTGTGGACCGGACAGTCAGTCCGTCAGGCGTCTGTTCCGAAAATTTCTTTAAGCACGTGTGTTGAAGTGCGGGGAATGTGTGTCGTTTGAACGAGACTGAGAGAGAGAGAGAGAGAGACAGTGTGTGTGCATCTGCATAAATATCAATTTGATGAGTATTCAAATGGACTTCATAGTAGACGCACAAGCACTTGTGTAATATAAAGCAACAGGGGATGTCATTTGTCGATGCCCTTTGTGATATTGTTTATGTTGTTGGCGTAGTAATACAATAACAAAAAACATTTTTTTGGGAGTTTGTAGAAATTTGAATGCCACACGCAAGGGTTGTTGGCAATTTTCAAACAGTTGCACGAATTAACAAAACAAATCCTGGCAACATGTTGCATTGGTGCGAACATAATGCTACGTTTTGACAAAGCCCCGAGCATACCGCACAGCTCAGGCGCAAGCTAGAAGGCACGTGGGCGGGTGGTAAGCATTGGATATTACATAAACCCGCTAGAGCGCCAACTTGGCTTCGCTGACTTTGGCCAACAACAAGACAAGGCGCAAAGCAAACGAAGCAGGGGGAAAGGAAACACGAGGCTGGAGGTGGCGGCAGTGGCTATATCCGCTTGCGTGTGGCATGTGCACGTGCGACGGCGAGTGCAATTGCAATGCGGGGCGGGGTGTATGCACAGTAAGACATTTTTTATATTTATTTGTTGTTATTTTGGTGTGTGGGTGCCAAGGTGGTTGTTTGGCAGGTTGCTTGGTTCGTTGAGTCTACCACAGCGGAAGCGCTTAAATTTTATACTTGTTGTTGCACATAGTCGCCGTTCAACTTCAGTAGATTCGGCTTAACTTGGGCTTTAGGTGGAAAATATGAGGTGGAGATTTTCCGAAAATATGAACATGCGTAATATTTAATTAACATTAAGCATTAGCATTAAAATCACTGGGTGGTGGTGAGTCTATGAATTGTAAAGCCGCAGATGAATTGCACGAAACATTTGTTGTTTTTTGTTTTTGTATTTCTGTTAAATATGCATGTGTAAGAGTGTCTACAAATGACTGACTGTTCGGGATTTATGAAAATGAATTATGAGTTCTGTACATTTATTGTGGCTGTGCTGACGTCTATGCAGAGCGTTGGGGAGCAGTGGAGAGCCACAACTGTTAAAGCGTTGATTATTATTTAATTGTTTTATGCATGAGCTCGAATACTCGAATACGAAATATTTGCAAAATCATTTAAAGTGACCACAATTATGAATTTAAAAAAAAATTAATTAAATTTAAAAAAATAAGAATAAATAAATAAAAAATAAATAAAAAAAGGAACAACTTTAACTTCGGCTGCACCGAAGCTCTAACAAAATGTCCTGCACAGGTGTATTTCTTATAATATAAAGGGTTAAAAAAGTTCGCTATCTTGAATTTGATCGGTCAATTTGTATGACAGCTATATGCTATAGTGGTTCGATCAGAACAATTTGTTCGGATTTTATAGTATTGCTTCGATTAATAACCCAAGCTAAGTTTTGTGAAGATATTTTGTCAATTAAAAAAGTTTTCCATACAAGGACTTAAGTTCGGTCAGTCAGTTTGTATGACAGGTATATGCTATAGTTGTCTGATCTGAACAATTTCATTAGAGGTTGTAGCAATACTCTGCATAATAATCTACGGCAAACTTCGTGCAGATATCTTGTTAAACACAAAAGTTTTCCATACAAGGACTTGATTTTGAGCGGTCAGCTTGTATGACAGCTATATGCTATAGGGATCCGATCTAGACAATTTCTTTGAAAATTCACTTTTGACTTGGAAAATAATCCATGCCAAATTTCGTAAAGATATTAGTTTATATGGCAGCTAGATAAATATGTATATGCCATAGTGATCAGATAAGAACAACTGATAATTGAATATCGTGAATATTTCGATAACGGTTGTTTGTAACACCTAAAGCAAATCAAGATAGATAAAGGGTTATAAATTCAAAGTGATCAGAAATCGACATCGGCTACGCCAACAAAATAACGTTAATTGAAACAATTTTAAGTGGGCGTGGCAGGCACTCTAAAATATTTAAAGTACACTTATTTCTAATATCTATTGCCACAGATTGAAAATAAGTGAAATAGGAAAATATCCACGTCCAGCTCCCATACAAATATTACAGTTTTATAGTTGCTGAAATCGGATAACAGCCACTTTCTTTATAACATTATATCAAATTCCATAAGATTTTTTATCTCAAAAAATAAAAAAAGAATTAAAATAAGAAGTTTTCTCCAAGTCTAGAACATTTTATCAAAAAATGATCGAGTCGAGTTATAACTTCCAAGCTCATATAATGTAAATCGCAAGTCCCATTATTGATTTTATACCGAAAATGTGCATAGGTCAGTCTGTAAATTTCTTAATGAATTTAAGTGCACATATTGTTCCCGTAATAGTATGGTATGTTACTAAAAATGGATAAATTCGAACAATAATACCCGTAATCCTCATATATGTACCTAATATAATGGCTTTCGAGCTTCCGTTGTACCATATCATATATGGTATACATATCAGCCAGTATGTAACAACTAATTTATATTAGTTGTACGATAGTTTGATACTGAAAATGAGGGAAATCGGTCGATAAATCACTCAAGACTCCAACAGTAGTGAATAAATTGCCAATTATGTGTGTTATTTTAATAAATATTTGGTGGAAAGTTCTCAGAATATTTTAGTTTAATTCGAAAAGTAAATGAAGTCGGTATAAACCTAATATACCCAGTATAGTTCTACCATCGGGTTAACATTATACCATTTACATGTCTATAGATTATATTTTTCAATATATTAACTGAACATCAAACTTCAATCCTTCAGTTCTACACACTACTATGAACTCACCACATTATTGCCGAAATTTGCGTATTTGGCGTGGAAACGTGGCATAACAAACATAACAGCTGTCAAAACGAAATTATCACCAACAAAAAAAATAATTTAATTTTTTTCTTAATTAATTAATTTTATAATAACTACATGAAATAACATTCACTTTTATTATTATTATTGCACTAAAACAACAAAAAAGATTTATATTTTCGTTTTGTGCACGTATTTTCCGTTTTACACCAGACTTCGTGCACGCACATAAATAAAGAAATAAATACAAGCAGCGCGAGGGCAAAACGAAAAATTAAATAACGCAACAAAAAATCGAGAATCGACCGTCGCAAATAATTAGTAACTAGTGCTAGTGCGCTTTGGAAAACTGCCGCTCGCAAACTGAAAAGCAGCGCTAAAACTAGCGAAAGCGTCTTGCAAGAGGTCGTCGGCATAGCAATCTACATAATCACTTACACATGCATACATATTCACAAAGGAGGAACAACCCTCGCTAAAACCGCGACATGTCGTGTAGCCGCCGGCCGGCATCTCGTGACCACACAGTCTCAGTCATTCAGCTGTTGGATGGCTTTCAGCTGTTCGTGACACTGAAATATTATTGTTGTTGCTTCCCTACTGTAGGGAGAGTGAGTGCATCGGTAAGTGTTGTTGTTTATTTTGATTTGTCGTGAAGTTAAAAGAGGTTACGGGGGTTAACGGGTTTACATACATAAGTGATGGCAGGTTAAAACTTTGTCTGCTGTCAAATATTGACATTTGCCTGGATGAGTTGCATTTTAATAAAAATAATTTTTCTAACAAAATGTTAAGGATTTCGGTAAAGTTATGTATAAGAAGTCTAGAAATTCTCTTTAACTATAGTTATGAAAATTATTAAATATTTCGGGATATCTGACAATTAATTTGATTTTGCAATATACCTCTATTAGAAAAGTTTCAAAACCAAATTTCGATATATCATCATGTCTCTGTTCTATATTCTCATGCCGCAAAGGTTAGTCAGTTTATACCACAAATATTGTCACTCAGATATTCCAAGAGAGGGGTTTATGGCAGAGTAAAACTTCGACGATTTTTTTTTGAGTAATCATATTTTAAAATATAAAAGTACGATAATCTATATACATATTAAAGAAAATTATCTATTTTATTTAATAGTGCCTAGTCTCAAATTTAATTCAAAATTAAATTCCTTTCTATTTTCAAAACTGCGTGGGAAAGGCTAAGCATATTAGATGATAACTAGTTCCAAATTCAAAAGCTCCTTATCCAATATTGTAATTGCCTTATTAATTTAAGGCAGAATGTTCACCAAATGAGATGAGATCAAAATTTAACTGTACTGTGATGTATTGAATAATTTATTTGATCCTAAAAAAAATATAAATATATGTATTTATATCGAGGAAAAATCATATATGATACATATATCTATGTGTATCCCAACACTTATGATAATTTTACTGTATTGAAAGCTGTCAAAATTCAATTAGAACTTTCACACTTGTACAACAAATACACAGAGGAGGTATCAAATTTAAATGAGCTTATATATTTGTTTTATTACGCGAACACATATTAATATATACAGATATTTAAATTAGGGTGGTTTGAACAACAAATTATGGTAATTTTTTAAATGGTTATTCCCGCAGATCTACTTGGAAAATTCATCTATCTATATAATTTTCAGCAGATAGTCTTTATTGCTACCATTATGACCCACACATATTTATTCTAAGCCACTTTCTATTTTTAACGATTCCAGTAATTCAAAAATTTTCCTAAGCCTGCGCTTTCTGAAAAATTATAGAACTTTATATATTGATAGATGTCAAATCAACTGTTAAATTTGACATTGCAAAAAAAGTACATCGGAACAACATTTTTGTGTTTTAATTGAAATGAAACTCTCAAAAAATGTTGTCAATAATCAATCTCCTATTTACAGTTTTAACTTCAAAAGTCCTTTGACCCTAATGCACATGTACTTTTACATACAAGTATGTCTCTTTATATTTGCATATGTATGTTGGTTTTTAAATTGTTTTCATACGTAATCCACACCTTTGCAAATTTTTTCAGCTTAATTGTGTAAAATGATATTTTTGTATACATATGTGATTATTTCAGTTTTAATAATCTTACAATGGTATTTTTTTTAACGTGTGATGAAACGGGAATCGGATTTCAAAACACGGCCAAGCATATTGTAGATTATTTGCCTTTTGTTTTGGGGACCATTATTTTATAAGCAACGTGACTTCTACCCGTGACGTTTTCTATTTTTGTTTCTTTGATTTTTTTTTGTAATTTTCGTTAACATTTGGTAATAGTTGTTAGTAATTGTATTATTTCTAAAAAGCGAGAAGAATATACTTTTAATTTTTTTATATTAATTAAATTTATTTAATAGTTCTATTAGAGTGCTGACTAAGTTTTTTATGAAATGAAAATATTCTGGACTAGATCCTTTGGGTTTTCAGGGGAATACTTAACGGTTAATGATTTCTTGTATTATCTTGAGAAGAGAGAAACGTCTAGGCGGAAATTAGTAAAAACCGAACGAAATTAGGAATGTAAATCACTGATTAAGACCAAGATACTTTTTATTATTATCGTCTCCCATCAAATTTGTTTATAATCTCGCGTCTGTGCTCAACATAGAGACGAAGAATGAATGAAGATACAGCTGAAGTTTTTTTTATCGATGTGAAACGGTTTTGTAGTGCCTCACTTCGTTCTCTAAATTTCTAAAAGATCTGTGGAAATATCTCATACAAGGAAGGGCGAGAACAAAATAATTTATCTTTGTTTCCTAGAAATTGGTTGATACTATGTAGTGTTTAAAATGCTATGAAGAACTAGAGTGCGATCCATGGCTCGATCAACATCAAGATAAATGTTTCGCGGTCACTCCTCAGTTTTCTTTAAAAAAGAAAGCTTATCATAAAACCTATTGTCTCTTCGGAGTCATTTTAAAAAGTTGAAAGTTCTTCCTTTTATTGTACAAGTTCACGGCAGATTTCTTAAATAAACAGAAAAGCTAGGTCGTGCCTAGAACTGAGAAATAAGCTTCACTCCTTTAACCCTATTTGCACCGAAGTTCTACGCAGATGCCTTATTTTTAAAGACGCTATACTACGCGAAGTTGGTTGTAGTCGTAAAAAAAATATATATTTCTCATATGAAAAAGCCTCTCTTAAATATATCTAAGCCCTTCGAGATCGGCGTGTCATGCTATTGTATTCTTCCACAAATAGTATGTAGAGTATAATTTGAAGCTCTGAAAAGTGCGTAGATCTTGAGGGATGTTTGCTATTATTACGTATACATGACAGCCCTGCATCTGAGAACCCTTTTCTCTCGACATTGCAACAATCAAAATCAATAATTTATCGCGTAGAGTGGGTGTTATGTAGTTTGTTGACACGCGTATCACGAATTTTGCATTTAATTTTAACGCTCTTTACAAATTTTATTGTAGTAAGAGTATGGTGAACGGGAGAAAAAAGTATAATGAAACGGACTGAATGTGAAATAACAACTACAAATATTAATGAAAGCTTGTTTTGAAATAAACTGAAAGGGGGAATTTAGCACAAGGGTAGTTTGCATTATTAGAGGGTTGTTTTGAAAATGACACCAGACGGTAATGTGATGAATCATAAGTGCAAATAAAACGCGAAAAAACGCACGCAAACTATGCCATGCGAATGAATTTTATAAAGTTTATGCTGAACTCCAAATGATGTGGTGTGTTTCCAAAGTTACTAAGTTATTGTAGTTTCTATTAAATTTGAAGAGTTTGTTAAATTTAGATTGTATTAATCATCTTAAGACGTTTAGTAGTCAGATGATGAAAGTTATCAGAAAAACTAATACTATAACTTTCTATCAGTTAATAAATATTTTAAACGTATCTCTTAAATTAACCTTAAAATAGTTGGGTCATTGACGTTCAAGTTCAGGTCTAAATGCCTTTAAAAGTCAAGAAAAATTTTATAAAATCCAGAAATATCTTCTGAACTAGCAAGATCAGGAGTATCGCGTGAAGGCTTGCATGAATCTTTGCAATGTCATAAATTGAAAAAAATATAAAGAAAAGCCGTTTCTTCATAAGTCTGTCTCTCTATACGTTTATACGATTGAGTAAATCGAGCTATCCATTGATTGACATCGGTCAAGATGTTTGTAACATCCAAAAGGAAACGTTGGAGAACCTATAAAGTATATATATAAATGATCAGCGTGAAGAGCTGAGTCGATGTAGGTATGTCCGACTGTTTGCTCATTTGTATATACGCGCACAAATCCCTAAGCTTTTGAGATATCGATCGGAAATTATGTACACATGGTTTTCTCACCAAGAAGCTGCTCATTTATCGAAACCGCCGATATCGGACCACTATAGCATATAGCACCCATACAAGCTGACCGGCCCGACTCAAGTCCTTGGATAGAAAACTTTTCTATTTGACAATTATATTAGACAAGTTTTCGATGACTTCATGAATTTCACTGAATGCTTTGTGCCACTCAAATACTTGCGTTTCTTATTAAGTAGACTTTCCAAAACCCTATTGCCACATTTTCAATGATTCCGTAGCCGTAATTTAATTGGTAACAAAAAATTTCAAGCAAACGCGTTGTTAACTTTTTTCCATGGTAAGAATCGCCAGACAACTTTTAACGTCGTAAACAAACAGCTGTCTAACATACACTAATTGATATATTGAGATCAAACTTCAAGAAAACAAAAAAAGGGTTATATCAATCTATCTCTAGTTTGATCTTGAAGTCATATTTTCTATCGACATAAATTTTGAGACTGCTATTGTTATGGGAATGCTTGTTTCAAAAAAAAAAATTAATATCGACATAACTTTGATTTAATGACTGCCAAATTGCCGGGTTTCATGAGAGTAGGAGAAAATATTTAGAGACGAGTTGAATAATAGGGGTTTTCTAGCTTTTTCTCTACAGAGTTTTTGTGGACTATTATTTTTATATAAAATTTACCTCCATGCCATTTTAAGAACCCCACCTCACACAAAAATTTTGCGAACTAGTTAAAATGCTGTAAAATGCATTTCAACTTAAAAATATTTGAATTTTTAATTCTTTATGTTAAAATACACATTTATTGACACACATATACGAAAAAAGCACACTTCGTTCTTAAAACAAAAAAACTGAAAAATGTAATGTCAAATTCTCGAATTGCGTAATTAGCTGTTGTAACACCTATTACACGCCGCCAAACCCACCCAACATCTATTATCTACTCCATGCGGTGTATATGGGTTGTCGAAAACATCCTTGCCACACGCTAATTAGCCGAGCTGTAAATTTTAATTAGAGGCAAAAATCTTAAAGTACACACTCGAATGTGGCATGTGTCCTTCCAACTGCAACCCTCACCACACACCGCACAACCCCGTCCAACACGCGTATTACAACGCACACACATTTATGCTTGGAGTGCCAAAAGAGTCACTTCAATGTTGGCACATGAATGCGTGAATTTTTCTGGGACATTAAACTGAACAGATACTTGAAATTAAGATGAACGAGCGCAGCAAAGTCATACATACATTTACATATGAAAAATAAAATGCTGCAAAATACTGAGAAA